CTGGCACATGATAGGGGACTTCTCTCAACTGTACAACATTCATAACTTTGTTTGGGAGTATGTGTCATTTGCGGGAAAGGAAGAAAGGAAGAGATCACAAACGGGGTTAGTGCTTAATGACATGAAGAATTTTCGGATCTGTTCTGAGATTACGCGTGCTGTTCTCAGACCTTTTGGATGCAAATTCAATCGGTGACTTACGGTTTGAGTTTTCTTCTCTATACTCCTGAGTTTTTCTTAAGCTGATTCGCTTTAAAGACTAATTTTTGTTTTAGGATAGTTTAAATTTGCGCATTTACTTTCGTTTCTCCTCTATGCACAAATTTACGAGGAGAAATAAAAACAAAACAAAATTAAGAATATTAAAAAAAAAATCCAAAAACATTAGAAAATCAGAAAATCCAAAAATACGGTGTTAATGAAATGTGCTTGCAGGTGATGTGATGGGAAGTTATATAATCATGTGATAACAGGCAATCTGAATCTGTGTAAGGGAATGAATCTGAATTGTCTAGGCTCTGTGTTCGATGCGCTGGTAGGCACGAAAGATTAAAATGGACTTGACTAGGAATTAATGAACTTAAGGAATCTAGAGACTTGAAAAATCTTGACCTAGATAGATCCATTTAGCCTGACAATACGACGCTCAGATAGGTTGAGCAGGGAGATATACATGATAATCCACCGGTCACACTAAAATAATTTGTATCTAGAACCGTGGTTTAACTCTTCCTCGATGTACGGACTTAGTCCTCAATTCCGGTATTGATGGGGCGACTGGGGAATTCCGATAAAGTAGGTTTATAAGAAATTATTTTCTTGCTTTTTTTCTGTTAGTCATATGTTGCCTCCTCTACGTGATTGAAATATATTTCGACCTGGACTGCAACATATGCAATTCTATTTCTCTGCATCTTCTATCTATGCAATTCTTCCTGTCTGTTAGTCATATGATGTCTCCTTTGCGTGATTGAAATACATCCGACCTGGTACACAGCATATGCACCATTCTACTTCTCAATCCCTCTAAAAATTCAGTTAGTCATATGTTTCACCCTCTGCATGATTGGAAGAGATCCGACCTGGGTGTATATCATATGCATTCTAAATCTGACTTCTCTCATAATAATTGTCTGCTCACCTAAAGTAAAGAGTACTTTGGAAGTTCCTGATTATTGGGGTATGTCAGGAAGCGGGAAACATGTTCTAGTACATTTAAAATTGAACAATCACTAGGTTGTCTGTAGATCTCGTTGCTCAATTTAGGTGGACAACAATATCTTTGGTCGTCGTCAGCTGAATGGTCCTTAGGGAATATTATCTAGGAACTTAGGATAATATAATCTTGTCACTTATAGTATGTCCTAATTTTGTCACAATCTGTCGTGTTTAATTGGACCACAATAACGGTGATTGACTAGATCTATTCATGAAGGGAGAGGTACTGATAAACGGATAAAGGCTGTCTAAAAACTTTGATCCCAAATCACTCTTAAAGTTAGATATCATTTTATTTTTGTTAAATTTGTTCATAGTTTTCTTTTAATTTAAATATCAGGGGAGAATTAAAAAAAATTTAAAAACCAAACAAAAATCAGAAAATTAAAAATCCAAAAATAGTGTTATTTCTGTTTTATTTCTTTTTCAGAAAATATGAAAAATCCAAAAATATTGTATGCTAATTTTTCTTTTAGTTTTGTTTTGTCTTGAAAAGTGAATTCAGGTGAAGATGAAACTCATGGAGTTTGTGTCGAAGATTTCTGAGCCAAGGCTTCATCTGTGATCATCGAAGAATTCTCATTCGAAGGAGTAAGAAATGAAGATTATTCTTTCGACATTCAATCTTTCAACCCCCAGAAGCAAGGTGAAGCTGAAATTGAAGATTATGTGACGGATTGCGTTGAAGCCTCCTCAATCAGTCTGCTGCTATCTTAAACCTGCTGAAGTGATCCAGAAGATTTGTTCTCTCTGATGTTCTCTCTGAAGATTCTCAAGCTGAAAGCGCTATCTTTCAAGAATCAGTACATCAAGCCTCCTCACCCAATGTGCGTTCAATGTCAAATTCCAAAGAAAAGCCCAAATGCTCAAGATGAAGTCATTCATTGAAGATTCATCAAGTTCATCTTGAAGCTGTGAAGAATTTGAAGATTAATGCTGAAGCCAAGCTCCCAATGAAGATAACAGAAAGCCAGCTACTTTTTAGGGGGAGCTTGTTGGGTCAATTAAGAAAAGAAAGTTATAAACCAAGGGGGAGATTGTTGGGTCAAAATTATGGTTTATACTTTGCTTTTCTGAGCAATTGTATTTTTATGTAATATTTTATGAGTTTACGGTCAGGTTTACGGCCAGGTGGGTGTTTACGGCCGTAAACAGGTTTACGGCCCAATGGGTGTTTACGGCCGTAAACCCATTTACGGCCGTAAACCCATTTATGGCCCATATTCCCCAAGTATATATATAGGTGTTAGGGGTGTGAGGAACAGATTGATAAACAGAGAATAGAGGAGCTTAAGTGTGTGAAACCCAAGGTGTTCTAGAGAGAGAAACTAGAGAGAAGTTTTGTGTGTGTGAATCTTTTGTATCTGGATCTTCATTCTAATCAATTCATACATAGATTCGTCATATTCTTATTCTTCTTCTGTTCTATTTTATCTAACATCATCCGTTTGATTGGGATTCCGCACCGTCAAACGGATCTGATTGATACACAAGCATTTTGAGGACTTACAATTGGTATCAGAGCCTGCAAAAATAGGGGGAGATGGGTCAAAATTATGGTTTATACTTTTCTTTTCTGAGAAATTGTATTTTTATGTAATATTTTATGAGTTTACGGTCAGGTTTACGGCCAGGTGGGTGTTTACGGCCGTAAACAGGTTTACGGCCGTAAACCCTGTTTACGGCCCAATGGGTGTTTACGGCCGTAAACCCATTTACGACCGTAAACCCATTTATGGCCCATATTCCCCAAGTATATATATGGGTGAGGGGTGTGAGAAATAGATTGATGAACAGAAGAGAGTGTACGGTCATGGGAGAGAGAGATGAGTTTTAGTGTGTTAGTGTGTGTGAATCTTGTATCTGGATCTTCATTCATATCAAAAGATTCATCGTCTTCTTCTTCTCATTCTCTTCTATTTGATCTGACATCATCCGTTTGATTGGGATTCCGCACCATCAAACGGATCTGATTGATACACAAGCATTTTGAGGACTTACATAATATCTCTTAATGCCGCTATAAACGTTAGATTTTTGTAGAAGCATTAAGATTCGCCTACAAAGTAAGTATATAAGTTAAAATAACAAACTAAGGAAAAACAAATTATTACTTAACAATTAAGTCATAAACACATTAAGTAATAAACAATTTAACAAACTATAAAACTACCAAATCAAATAAGTCCTTAACAATTTAAGTCATTGTCAATTTAACAAACTATAAAACTATAAAATCAATTAAGTCCTTAACAATTTAAGCCATTAACAATTAAACAAACTATAAAACTACCAAATCAGTTAATTCATTAACAATTTAACAAACTATCAAACTACTAAATCAATTAAGTCCTTAATAATCTAAGTTATTAACAATTTAACACACTATTAAGCTACCAAAACAATTAAGTCCTTAACAATTTAACAAAATACCAAACTAACAAATGCATTAAAGTCTTAACAAATTAGTAAAGTACCAAGTTACCAAAGTCCATAAAAGTTTAACAAGTACCTGAGTTTGTTGCGCTGCTTGTGACTGCAACTGTCACTGAGAGGGAGCACTAGTACCCATTGCGGAAAGAAGTGGTAGCCCGTGGCAAGAGGCATGTCGGAGCTGGGAGGTGGCTGATGTTGGTTGTGTTGGTAGTCTTCGTTGTCGGAGACCGCAGTTGATGCTTGTTGGTGATGGACACCGATGAGGGTAGAAATGATATCGTTGGTGGTAAGTGGCGTGGTGGTGGTCCTTGTGGTTGATGCGGTAAGTTGGGTGGTGGTGGTGTCATTTAAACACTTGATTTTCTTTTTAATTGCCGTCAAACACTCATAATCGTCGGAGAATCGAAATAGAAGAAACAGATGGATCGTATACAGATTCATGGGATGGGGACGAACTAAAGGGGTAACTTTTGGCGGCGTCGCGGCGACAATAAGGTATAATTAGCAACGACGAGTAAATGAAATTGGAAAAAATTGTTCGTGGTTATTTATGTCCTTAGTATTAGCAGCAACATAATCGCTGCTATTGAAAACGTATGACAAGTAAAGTAATAAACACAACCCGTTGATCTATGTATTGATTTAACGGCCAGAATTGATTATAGACAATGTCACACAGATTGCCACTGACAGAAGCACTAGCAGGGCCACCTTTAGCGGTGCTGCAAGCTTTAGCGACCACACTAGACGTGTCCGTTTTGATTTCGCCGCTAAAGATGATGCCTCTAATGCTACCATTTCGTGTTGTGGAATGGAACACGCTTGCAATCTTGTTTCCCGCTAAGGGTCCTCTAGTTCGGCAATCCATTTAATTTTCCTAATCCTTTTCTACTTTGGGCCTTTTACATAGAGTATGAAGCAGACGTATAAATTTTGGGCCCCATAAAACCCTATTCACATGCTGAAAGTGCACCCCTTAATTAAAGCCAGCCCTAAGAGAAGTAGAGAACCAACACTAGAAATGGATCATCTAGCTAGTGATCTACACAAATAGCTTTATGTGAACAAGTATGTTGTGTCAACAGCTAAACGTAAACGGAACAAAAATTGTCGATATCAACCATATAAAAACTTGTAACTTTTAAATTGTAGGACTTATAATATATTAAGTTGCAAACAATAATGCATTGACGAACAGTACAAAAAAAATGAAGCAGTTACTTCTAGTTTAGAAGCTTGGCCTCTTCCTCATGAAACATATTACATTTTTGTTTTACCTTTCTTGTCTACTCAAAACGTATTGCTTGTTTGCTCCACATTTTGTCAATCCAGCGCCCGACTTGTTTTCAGTTAACAATAGGATAAACACTAGAATCCGGCTGATCAAGCAAAAGTAGGGTTTCCATGTAAGAGTCGACAAAAAATGAACCATAATCTGAATAAAATGATGTATACTTGAAGTCTTTCGAACCGGGTTCATAGAAAACAAATGCAGTTGGTTCTCCAAATTCATCATGGGTTTCCATTATTGGTCCACCACTCTTCATAAATCCCAAAATGTTTATTAATGCATATGGCGTATTAATAGTGAACAACTTTGTAAAAGAAACCGGAACACCATGATTCATCATCCACACAACACAGTCTTGTTTCTCGTTGTTTGTAGTACTGTATTCAACCAGCGCATGAGAACCCCTTACCTTAGAAATGGAAAATTTTGATGAGGACTGATGTGTAAAACAATTTGGTAAGTCTATCAGACTGATTTCTTGGGTAATCATATCAAATGACATAATCAGCTTATTTTCACCGAGACCATCACTATAGTCATCGAGCGGATAGTAACCAAACCAATAAATGAACTTATCTATAGCTTCCCGACTCCATGTAACTGAAACCGGTTTATCAGGAAGTTTGCTAGAAGGAACACTCCAAATACCTGTGCTCAATGTAAAAACCTCAATTTCCACGCTAGCCTTACTTTTCATATCCATGCCAAGATTTGTAATTTTCACAATCGTAGGGTCACTAGTGATGGGAGATACACCAAAACCAAGAACAGTGTGGAGAAATCGCCAATGTAACACACCAGGCACAACTATGCGAACTGACTTTCTAATCGAAGGATTCCAAAGAACAGCCATCGTTATTCCAGACTTGTCTAAAGACTCATCACGATAAGAATCGTACAAGCACAACAAACCTTGAGAGCTACCAACAACACGTAAATCCTTGTATGGTTTAGAAAGTCCATAATCCTTGTATAGTTTAGGAAGCCCAAAAAGAGTCGGATCAATGTCTTGTTTCGCAAAAATTGACTTTAAAGCCTCATCATCAACAAATGAAACAATTTTCTTTCTAGTCCCTAATCTTGATGGGGGTACCACTCTTCATACCAGACAAGAAGACGGTTCAGCTGAGTATGGCCGACACTGTGAGCAGCAATAAACTCAGAACTGTCGATCAAAGCCTTCCATCGTTTTGAGACAGATCTGAATTGAAGAACTGGCTTAACTGGAAGTCTTTTAATGATTTGTACTTGAAGTTCAAAAGGTAAGTAGTCTGACATTTTTGTTTCTGGAGTTTATTACGGATGTATGAATTTGAAGGGATTACATAAAAGGGAAATATAAGCGTGAACGGGAGATTTATGATACTATCATCGGGCACATGGAACGTTGAAACGTTTTGATTACTGTTAAACCCATTTAACGGAACTCGTATTAATGGTTTTGTTCTGCTCGCAACTTCAAAAAAAAAAAAAAAAAAAAAAAAAAAAAAAAAAAAAGTGAACTTCTTTTATATTTTAAAAGTTTTTTTTTTCAGAATATTTTTTTATTATTCTTTTATGTAACTTTATAAATACTTTTTTTTTTCTGTACGGCCAACTAAAAGCCTAACTTAGATGTTAAAACCATGCATTATATATTTAATTTGAGAGAAATTAAATAATCTACTCAAATTCGTAATATATTTTGAATATTATAGTCATATTTAATTGTAAAAATTAAATAAAAGTTTTTACATATTAACCTTACAATTGATTTATTATTTATATGTTTTTTTATTCAATCAAATACTAAAACGAGTAATTCTATTTATTTTAACCCCTTACTCAGTCAAAAGGTCATTCAATTTTTAAAATTACATTTTTGGTTTAGATTTTTAAATTTTATTACAAATTTTGTCCAATATTTAAACTTTTGGCCAACATTTCAAATTTTACTAAACATTTGGTTCAAAATTTACATTTTTGGCTAGGATTTCTGAATATTGTTGTGAATTTATCCTAAATTTAATGTTTTTATATTTTTTTTTTCAAAATTTTGTTTCAAATATGTTTTTTTCTTTATAAAATCATCTTTATAAAAAAACATATTTTCACATAAAAACCTTCTTTTTTTTCTATATAAAAACCTTTTTTTAAAGCATTTTTGTATATAAAATAACTACTTATAAAAATAATTATTTATATGAAACACATATTTTCTAAAAATGTATACATACATGTTTTTAAAAATATTTTTGTATATGAAACACATATTTTTTAAAAAAATTTAAAATATTTTTGAATACGAAACACGTATGTTATAAAGGCACATATTTCATATTTTAAAAAAACACGTTTTTTAAAATACTTTTGTATACAAAATAAGAAATACCTATTTATAAAAATAGGTATTTATGTGAAATAAGTATTTTCTAAAAATGTATACAAACATGTTTTTAAAAGCATTTTCTATAAGAAACACATATTTTATAAAAAAAAAATTAAAAGCATTTTTGTATACTAAACATGTATTTTATAAAAAAAAGCTTTGTATACCATTTTATAAAATACGTGTTTGTATACTATTTTGTAAAAAAAATATGTGTTTTTATAAAATATGTTTTTTTCTTTATAAAATCATATTTATACAAAAGAGAACATACTTCTTTTTTCTATATAAAAACTTTTATTTAAAACATTTTTGTATACAAAATACATATCTTTAAAAAATAGGTATTTATATGAAGCATGTATTTTCTTCAAATGTATACAAACACATTTTAAAAAAAAATTTGCATACACACACGTATTTTATACAAAGAAAATTATATATATATATATAATATATATATATATATATATATATATATATATATTAAAAAACTACTTGTTACATATAAATACCAATTTTTATAAATAGTTATTTTGTATATGAAAATGTTTAAAAAAAGGTTTTTATATAAAAAACAGAAGATTTTATGTGAAATATTTTTATTTTATAAATATGATTTTATAAAGCAAAAAAAAACATATTTTATAAAAACACGTATTTCGTTTTTATAAAATGATATATAAACACGTATTTTAATATTTCATAAAATTGTATACAAATATGTTTTTATAAAACTCCTGTTTCGTATACGAAAATGTTTTTTAAAATATATTTTTTTTATAAAATATGTGTTTCTTATACAAAAATGTTTTTAAAAACATGTTTGTACACATTTTTAGAAAATATTTGTTTCACATACACACCTATTATTATAAATAGATATTTTGTGTTTCGTATACAAAAAGTATTTTTAAAAACCTATCTTTTTAAAATACCAAATGTGTTTCTTTATAAAATATGTGTTTCGTATTCAAAAATGTTTTTATTTTTATTTTCTTATAAAATACATGTTTCATATTAAAAAAAATTATATCTTTATATAAAACACATCTTTTTTTATACTAAAATGTATTTAAAACATGTTTGTATACATTTTTAGAAAATATGTGTTTCCCATAAATGCCTATTTTTATAAATATGTATTTTGTATACCAAAAGGTTTTAAAAAAGGGCTTTTATATAGAAAAAAGAAGGTTTTCATATGAAAATATGTTTTTTTGTATAAGTATGAGTTTGTAAGGGAAAACAAACTTATTCGAAACAAAAAATTGAAAAAAGATGTAAAAAACCTAAATTTATGGTGAATTCGTAACAAAATTTACAAATCCTAGTAAAAAAAATGTAAATTTTGGACCAAATTTTTAATAAAATTTAAAATTTGTGCAAAAAGTTTAATTTTGAAAGTTGGATGACCTGTTGAACGGGTAAAAGTGTCAAAATAAATATGATTAACGATTCATGAGACTTAATTGAATAAAAAAATATATAATGACTAAATCGATTATAAGGCCAATATGTAAGTACTTTTATGTAGTTTTTCCTATTTAATTTTGTTTTTCAAAAATAATCTTACTCCAGAATAGACTATCTCAGAGTGAAGTTGTCCGACCCTGCACATTCCATATCGGGATCTGGAGAAAGTGGTAATACATAAGACATTGTCGAATACATAACAGAATAACTTCATTTTTCGGAATCAGTGAACAAAGAGAAAATGACATCTGATTTCGATGAGTTGCAAGTTTTAAGATTAAGTTTTTTACTCTTTTACTTTACTTGTTTAATTTTGTAATTATAACTGCAAAAACAGGAGTCTGGAACATCACAAATTATTGTGTTGGTTATTAGAAATTATGTAGTTTTTTAGTATTAGTAAAGACCCAAAATATTAGAAAAACAGTTACGTTAACAATAGCAAATGCCTTAGATTATTCCAAATTGATTTTCATATTTTAGAGCGCTCAAATGAATTCAGAATACGATGAACTAGTCCGGAATACAAGGAAATAGTCTGAAATGTTTAGAACAATACGTTCCAAAGCGCCATTAATAGCCCAAAATAATTTTCAGTGTCATGTTGAAAGTAATTTCTTTTTTGTTTTTTGCAGCATGACCAAATTTTTTATGCTACTCTTACAATGTCTTGCAAATCCGCCATTATTATGGATAAGTCGGTAAATTACAACTTGTTATAAATGTATTTGAAACATCTTTTAATGAGTTATTAGATAAGGGTGTTATCCGTGTGTGTCTATTATATTTGTTGGAGAAGGGGTTGAATGGCCGGTTGCCATGTCAGCGTGTGAAAGAGAAGTATTTCAGTTAGGTATCCAACTTCAATGATTTCAACATGTATGTCATCAATTTATAAATATCATTAAAAATATATTTTTACAAATTACTTGTGTATTTTTTGGTGTCATAAATATATGTGGGGGATGATAGTTGGGATCAATTGTATGCTAGCTAAAGACAGTACTCAATAAGTTTCATAGACTTATTCATCATGTGAAAGAAAAAAAAACAAACCATAAAAACTTGACGTACAACCAAAGTAGGTTTTTATACGCATTTAAGTTAAAATACATGATTATTCTGTTAACGTTATGTATTGGCTAATATCTTATTACATGATTCTTTTAATTATGGATTATAGAGGCTGATAACATATCCCTATATATACTCACCAAAACAACAAGGGATTATTTGCAAGACCCTTACAATTTCCTCCGGTTTGACCCAATATATATTTTCATCGGCCGATCCACCTAGAAAACGACTCAGTAGGCTTCCTTGATGACTAGAAGTCGAGTTGGCGCATAGAGATATGTTCCACCAAGATGCCTTACTTCCTAGAAGTCGTGTTTCCTTGTAAGATACGACACATCGTTGCTCGCCAAGGGCCGATCACACCTCGAACGCGTGTCGCCTTTTGAAAAGAAGGAATACGTAACGAGAGTAGGAGGTAGTGTTCGTGTTATTAACAATATTCCTCCTACATAAATCACAAGGCATGCTGTCACACCCCCAAACCAGAATGACGGAAACATTCGGGGGTGGGTGACTTCACGTAGTATCATAACAGTTGAATATTGTAAAGAAAGTGAACACAACCATCATAAATAATATAAAAACTTACATTGTTGCGTGTAATACATGTTTCAAAAGAATATTACAAATATGATGATATAAAATGTTTTGATAATAGACGCCTTAGTGTTCCTTCTCCAAAAGCTGATGGTTACCTGTATTACTGATTCCCTGAGAAATACAAGTAGTTTTGAAAAAGTGTCAACAATTAAGTTGGTGAGTTCATAAGCGTTTTGTACTGAGATTTGTATGTCCTTTAGTAAAAATAATTGAACGTGTTTTCCAGAAAATCCAATATTTTCTATATATAGTTTGAAAAAGTTCCAAAGGCTGGAATGCAATAGTATCTTTCATGCTCAATTGGTGAAAGTGTATTTATACTCAAATAATGTATTTAATGAATGCATTCAAGAGTCTCGTAAATCAAACTTATTTTAATACTTCCGTGTGAGTTTTATAACCATGCTATTGACCCAGACTTCCTGTTACAACGTTCTTCAGGCGTTGTAGTTTTATGACGTTTGTCACTCCAGACCTGCCGGTCTAACTGTAGCTAACAGTTTAGGTGCGGGATTGTCAATCCCGTATAGATCTATACACAAGTATCACGCTCTCCCTCAAAGAGATTATGGTTTATAATACAGGACTTGAAATGCATACTTATGAGTACGTTGAAGCTGAATGTCTCACAACACTTAGTATTAATAGATTTGCGAATAGAAAAGTCTATATTTCATGTAGATGAAAGTATTTCATTTTCACAATGTTTACGTAAAGATGTAATGAATAGCCTGTAAACTATACCCATTATAGTTTT